TGAGATAGTTCACTCGAATTTCGTATTTCTTGGAAATTTTCAATGCAAAACTAGAATTCCGCGATGGAATAGTAATTGTGTGGTGTGTAACTACTCGTATTGGTCACGTTTTAGGCCATCAACTCTCAGATTGCTTATTCGGTACTCGTTGATTCAAAGTATTTGAGGGTTTCAGCACATTCTCTTGAAGATACTGCAAAGTCGTGCTGGAATCTGTTTTCTCGTAGCTTAATAATATGAACCTAGTTTAAGAAAATAGTCAAATTTCTTACGCACAATGCGCAAACGTAACTATAATATAAGTGCAATCGTGAAGCAATGTTTGAACTAACGCTATTATCCTTAATACAGATTTATCCTATTGTTCTCAATTATTTCCCACTGACGTACATTGACTTCCCTGTGGATTGAATCAGCGACCATAAAAAACTTTCGTTGCTCTCAATCGTATTGCGGGAGAGAGTTTGTTGAGTGAATGTTTTTTCGTGGATAAAATTACTGATTACTTGAATCAGTAGTTTTATCAGTAATGATACACCATATGATAAAAATCTATGATGCGATTGTGTTATCAAATTGATTACGAGACTGATAATCAGTGGTCAGCTTTTGAGTTGCTTGCCGTATTCATTCACGAGACATTAACAGCAATCGATAGTTGCGCGTAATCCTGATCATTCAATTGACTGCAAATTTTTGCATCACATTTTCACTTATCAATTTATTCTTTCAGTAATCGTGTGATAATATTGCTAATACGAGCGCATTTAATTTCGGTTGCATTCACGGATGCTAATTACTGACTAAACGACGAATTCTCTCTTTATTTTCGTATTCTCTTCACAACTATTCCGAAGAAAATAACCGCTGTCGAATACTTCTATTATCGGCGTGTTCACCTTGATACATCAATTCATACCCTGCCGGCAATTCATACAGATCATACATAACGAATCAATCAGATTCTCGCCGTGGTCACCTAATATTTTTTCTGAGCCCGTCGTTCCATCGAACTGAAATTAACGATCAACGGCTACTTACAGTACGTTCATTGGCTGTTCGCGAACGAATGAAAGAAGATATAAATAAAACAGGAGATAAACCGATAAAAATTAGCGACAACGAATAATTTATCGGAAGTGAATTGATCGATCGAAGCAACAGTGACCAATATTTGATCTGATTGAATCGGTTGATTTCCGTATTCAGCACGGTGACACTTGTTGTGGAATAAGGTGGATTTGGATGAATGAATGTTGTTGAATCGTTGAGAACGATTTCGAGGTTGGATGATTGCAGCAAAAAATTCAATACGGAAAGCACTCCATATCGGAAAAGAACGTCATCATCGACAAAATGATAAACAAACACAAGAAAGGCACTCGCTATCCTCTCCGAATCACAGCGATGAAGCGAATAATACCCTTCAGCCGCCGTCGTCTCCGTCAACCTCTCGGAAGACTTCTTTCAAAGAGAAACACAAAATCTTTGCCGCATTCCATCATCATTCATCCAGCAACGGAGACACCAGCAGTCCGCCTAAGAAAGCGTCCGCAGCCGTCTCACCCGCAGATGCATCCTCATCCTCATCAGTCTCTAGTCCGAGTTCACCGAAAACATCGCTTAGTAATGCTCAACAAAGTCCAAAATATGTGGATGGTCAGCTAGCACGTGTACGTATAAAACCAGGGCATGAGGTGATCCTAAGACTTCATCAGTTATCAGTAGACGTTGAGCAAGTGATTATCACCCATCCAACTAAACCTAATAAAAACGCCAAAGATGGGTTGAAAGTACCGAAGAAATCGTCCATCCAGCCACGTACGACTGGATATGCGGAAACGGGTGATCTGGCGAATCTTCGCGATCATCATCATCGAAGTCGAAGCATAAGTGCGCAGCCACCGACCACTTTACTTGGTACAAGTGTAGCGTCTTCATCGGTAACCGTGCCCGCACTTAGAGGCTTCTTACGCGGTTCCATTCTGAATGCAAATCGCTATTCACCCTTCAAATCAACGCGATCCTCACGATTCTCGGTCGTTCGTCATCCACCTTCGACAGTGTACGACTTTGAGGGATGGCATACGGTGCTAGACCAAAGTGAGTAGTTGATTCGTTTCAATCTTTCACTCGTATTTTTATCCCATTTTCGATTTTAGAGTTCATTTCTGAACAATTCTTGGGATGGTTCGCCGGCCTTCTCGCCGATCGGAGGCAGCTATTTGCCCGAGATCAACAGAATTATTTTCGGTTTGTTTTGTCTCGAATAGTGTTCATTACGATTACAAATCAATGGAATGTTATGAATCGTTAAATGAAGTGTATTTTGAGTGACTTCCGTGCTTGAATCCATTGCAGTCGTGCAATTGCAAGTGTCTTGTCCTTTTGATCACATCTTTGAAATTTTCGTTCGGATTATTACATGGGTGGATATTCGTATAGAATATACATGTATGGCTTGATTGAGCGATTATTGAATCCCTTGCAGCTTTTCTTCTTGTTATGCCGTCCAAAAAGTAACTCATTTTTCAGAGAGTCAAGATGCTGTATATTCATTGTTTATGAAAGCTCATAAATGTTATGACTTAATTCCGACTAGTTCAAAATTGGTTGTTTTTGATACAGAACTGCCGGTAAGTGTCATCTTGGTGTTATTCGAAGCTCGTTTTCATGTGATTCGTTGCACTTGTCATGTGTAAAAATCGACGGAGTTTTTTTTTCATCGTAGACATAAAAGATTTAATTGCTTCGATATCTATCAGAAGGAAACTAAAAATAGCCACAAATTGCATTTTTATTTGTGTCGATAAATGTAAATGGGAAAATGTTTTGTTCATATATGGCGAAGAGAATTTTTCAATTATTTCAAATATTCATTATTGGAGAGTCATCGATAAGCAGTCGGGCAATTTTTAGGTTCGAAAAGCGTTCTTCGCTTTGGTTTATAATGGAGTGCGTGCAGCGCCATTGTGGGATAGTAATAAACAAGAGTTCATTGGTATGCTTACCATCACGGATTTTATTGAGATTCTCAACAGGTTAGCATTCTATTCTCCCATTATTCCTCTCGTATCCCAGATTACTTCGGATTTACGCTTAACTGAGTGAAGTGCTTAGTCGTATGGTTGATTTTTCATGTTTTCGAAACAGACTAACCACGTGATGATCGGTAATTTTGCACGAGAAGGATGTTTAATCTGATCTTTCTGTTTATCAATTCTCGCAAAAATATCGCAATTAAGCTCAGATTACTGTTCGATCCGTTCATTCGGTCGTTTCTTGGAGCTTTCCTTTAGGCATTTTAATTAGTTTTTCTTATTGTTCATGAATGAACTGTGAATGCGCTTTCCACAGTTCATTATAATCTCTCGTTCATTCATCTATGATATAGGTTCCAGAAGAAAATTTCGCATTTTTGAAAGAATTATGACTGGTCGCAGTTCAAATATGTTATGTGATTCAACATTTGCAATCAATTTCTGAATCAATTGCTCGAAATTCAACCGGGTATAATAATAAAAGCCGGATAGTGTGTTTTGAGAAAGAGAAATTATTCGCAAAATGTGATATTTTACTGCTGATAATGACGTTAGGTGGAATTTAAAAATTCGATTGAATTTGTTCTGAAATTAAATTCAATAATGTGATTCGTTGATGTTCTGAAGAAATTGTGTTTGGTTTGAGTGAAATGAATTAGTCATTTGTTGTTTGCTCAGGTATTATACGGATGATTCAAAGAGCGATGGCATTAAAGAGCTGGAAGAGCATAAAATATCAACTTGGAGAGAAACGTTTGAAAAAGATGGCAAAGCTAGAGCACTTATCACAATTGATCCATCTGAAAGGTTGGTTGGTTATCTGATCAGTCATTTTGAGTTGGTTCTCTTATGAGTATTCAATGACGAATTCTTTTAGTGCACTCTTACAGGAAGAATGTCATTAATTAATCATTCATTCTGGCAAACTATTTCTCCATTATTAGTAATCAACTCCTAAAAACCCAATGAATCCTTAAAATTGAAATAAATCGATTGCACTGTCGATAAAATAATTCATTTATTCTGAAAAAAAAAAACAAGGCAGTCACTTTTTTATGTTTCAGTTTGCATCGAGCCGTACAGATACTATGTGAATCAAAGGTGCATAGATTACCAGTGATGGAACGCGGCTCAGGCAATATCTCTTATATTCTTACACATAAGCGCCTCATCAAATTCCTTTATCTATATGTAAACGTTTATT